GAATTATTATTGCAATTAACGTATGATCAGGACCGTACATAAAGATTTTATCGCCTGTAGACATAAACCTAATAAATAGTACATAATAAAATTATTCAAGTATTATGACATATAACGTCTATTTTGTATTTAGGCTGATTATTTGGTAGGCAGGTACTTCTGAACTCCAAGATAAAATTGGATGAAATATAGACTTTATCTATTTATCGCCCAGAAAATCTTGAAAGAAGAAACATTCCGAGAGAGATTGGAGAGGTGATAACGATTCATAAAAATTACAGAGATACCTCTTAATACAGCTTATAAAATAATATCAGCAATAATACAATGGCGGCTAGCGGAAACAACAAAAACAGCATCAATGTGGATTCACTCAGGTTGAGTCAGCTATAGAATTGGAATTATAAATGCATTTTATTGACTTTAAACACGCCTTTTGATTCAATAAAAAGAACAAAACAGCGGCTGGTCCTTCAAAAATTAGGATGTAAGAAATTGAAATCAACATTAAAACACAAAAATGAAGATCGAAAGAATTCACAATTAATAAAAGAATAAAGTAGAGATTCGATATTAATCTCTCACTAGAATATGTGACAAGGAAAATTAATAAAGATAACCTGAGAACAGGGAGAGGACAGTTCATTGCATACGCAGATGACATAGTGGTAATTGCAAAACAAGAGGAATTCTAGAAAATACCTAGAGCAAGGGAAAATGATTAAACTAGAACTGACCAAAAAAAAAAAAAAAATAAGTAAAAAATAAGTAAAAAATAAGTAAAAAATAAGTAAAAAATAAGTAAAAAATAAGTAAAAAATAAGTAAAAAATATTAAAATGGGAATTCATGATTTCGAAGAAGTGGAAAAGTTTAAATATTTGGGAATCAAAATAGATTGAACTGGAGCAGGAAAAATAGTCACTACAAATAAAGCATTACATGCAAACAAAAAAAATTATTTAAAAGCAAATTACTCACATAAAACACAATAAGTAGGACAAAAAAATAGGAATAATGCAGCAATCTAGAGGAAAATAGCGAGGAGCGAGGACCCGTTTTGATAGCAGAAAATGGAATATTGGTTCATTCTATGTTACAATGGAAACCAGGAGGGAGAAGGAGACGTGAAAGACCCAGATCAGAATGGCTAAAGGAAGTGAAAGAAGATCTACGTATACAAAATCTGGATAGAGGAATATGGAGGGACATTGTTAAGAGTATTATATAAGAGATTGAGTTCTCATATATATTGGTATTGATACATCCATAATATGAATTTAGAGAGCGATCAGGGGCTTAGTAACATTAGACTTTTTTGGCATGAATTTAGTCACGTGAAATTTGGCTTTATATCTATCAATTTTGTTTCGTCGTAAGGACCAATGTCTCGTCGTCTCGTAATAATATTATTACCAAAACAGATTTTTTGTCTAGAGCTTCAAAAGAATATTGAGTCAATATCTTACATATCAAAAATTCGTACAGGATTTAAATAAATTAGTAAAACAAAAATAAGAGAAAAATAAATTACAACAAGAATCAAAAAATGTCTTCATGCAGAACTTGTCAGATATAAAGCGCTCATTGGAAGCTAAGCAATTGATGGATTACTTTTCTTGACTATTTAAATGTTTTTTACCCAGTTAACTATTTGATTTTTTTAATTATATAAATATACAAAGAAACCCAAAGTCCAAGTCACAAATCATTTATTGAAAAAGTAATATTTTTTTTTAATTATGTAAGTAATTATGTTTTTCTATTACGATAAATTGAAAAAAAAAAATATTTAATTTTATGATATACAGGTAAATTAAAATTTTCTTCTTTCAATTATCAAAGGAAATCTCAATTTTATATGTAATAAAAAGTAAAAAAATAGGTTACGAAGCAGCTAACATCCAACTCATCCTTCCGCCTTTGTTAATTCTGTTAACGACCATTCGCCGTTTGGTCCATATTTGGCTCCATTGGACTTCTTTATAATCTTAAACCACAGGGTACGTTACTTTGACAACGATTCGAGATTTAAAAACGATATTTATCCCTATTTTGAAGAATAACAGGACAGTTTTTTTTCTGATGGACAAAAGCATTTTTTGCATGACTGCTGGCGCAAGGGCGATGGAAGATAGAGGTGGATGTATTGAAATATAAATAATAATCAAAAACTATCAAGTAAATATCTCACACATTAGACTGGAAGGTGCGAACCTAGTGGTGCGCACGAGACGAGAAAAATCTCGATCTCGTCTCGAGATCGAGACGAGATCCGAGATCAAGATCTGCAGAACAAGTCGAGATCTGATCCTCGAGATCTCGGCGAGAACGAGATCTCAAAAAAATCACGCCACATCAGTCCCTGCCGAGAAATTATTGTTATCAAAAGGCGGTCTCATCATAAGAAAACATCGAAGCCAGTTAACAGTTGATTCGGCCAGGTCTCTTATATGCCTCAATTCTTGGTTTACCTCAAAGTTATTATATTTTTAATATAAATTATTTAAAAAAATTAATCATTTTTTTTATGATTCGATAAAATTTATGAATATTTATTTCTATAATGTTAATGGATATTTTAACGTATCTACTCGTATTTGAAAGAATAGTTTTTTTTATTTTCTAAGAATAAGATTATATTTTAATGATATCGGCAAGATTCTCTAAAAGTCGAGATCGAGATTTGGAGTTCGAGATTTTACGAGATCGAGAACGAGATTTGCCAAATCCCGTCTTGTGCGAACCACTATGCGAACCGAGGGGTTAGTCACTGTGCAAATCTTCTTTCCTACGGGATGGATATTTCATGGAGATCCGTGGAGATACATGGATGTCAGGTGAAAATCCGGTGGAGATCCGGTAGAAATACTTGGAAATCCAAGAACTTCGGCTGCAGTCGTGTAGAACCGATCGGAAAAGCGTAATTGCGTGCGCACATCATTTTAACTGGTATTGTGACCCGGTGCAGTGTTGCCAGGTCTACCGTTTTTACCTTTGTCTTAGGGACAGTTTAGTTTTTTCAGAGTTTCTTTTATACTAGTCACTTGTTCCTACTTGGGAATAAGTATTGTTTTTTTGTGTCAAAAAAAATTTATTTTTATTGTTGTTTTTTCTTTTTAATATTTTTTTAGCTTTTATTATAGTGATTATATACTGTTTATTTTTCTACGTATTGTTCCTTTACAATAAATTTGTTATTTTATATTTTTTTGGTGTACCTATGTTTTTTTTTTTAGTTTTTTAGTTTTATGATACCTGAAAAGGTATTATGTCTTTTTTTGCACTGTTTACTATGTATTATTTTGAGCAAGTCATGTGTTACTAAAGTTATATCTATGTAATACTTTTTTATTTTATTAAAACTAAGTTGATGTCATATTTATATTTTTTTGTTTAAACAATATTTTCATGTTTAGATATTGCTTCTTCTCTAAAACATCATAACAAGTTGTGAGTAAAATACAGGGGTAAAATAATACTGAGTTAGTTACAGTCCTTCGACAGTAATAATCTATTTTCTGCCATGGTACATAATCTACCATTATTAGGTCAAGTGGTCTACTTACTACTTATCGAGTCGGCGGCGTACTTAGCTTGTCTAACGCGCATATATTCATTTATAGGCAACTTTGTGGTTAAGGGGCTTTGAATCCTACATCAGACATCAGACCATGAGAATTTTTAATTAAATTGCATGGTTCGTTATAGGAATTTATGTGTGCCGTATTAACAGAAATTCAATTTCTGTTGATATAACATCCAGAATAAAAATCGCCATGCGTTACCGTCTCGATGATGGTGGGTGAAGTTTTCCGGATTTTTCAAATGGCGCTATCAATCATCTTTAAGTCGCCCCGGAGCGCCACGGCAAATAATAATAATAGCCGTCCCCTCTCCGACACAAATCGCTCAGTCAACTTCAGGGGTTGAAATTCACTCGTTAGGGGGTTAATTAGGGAAAGTATTATTATTATTATTTTTTTTATTATTATTATTTTTTTTATTATTATTATTTTTTTTATTATTATTATTATTATTATTATTATTATTAATATTATTATTATTGTTATTATTACTACCTCTAAAAAGTTTGTGATTTATTCATATTATAAATATGGATACAAATTATTATTAATATGAAGCTACCACTTTCTGAACAGCAAAAATGTGTTTTTTTTCAATGATCTAATTCTATATAAAACTGAATGAAATATATATGGAGGTCCGGAGGAGATCCAAGGATATACCTGGATATCCAATTATATTCATGGAAATCTATGGAGTTACATGAAGATCTCCACAAATGGAGATTTTCTGTCCTAGAAAATTGCAAGTGATTACCTCTTCGGTGGGAACCCAAAAGCCCGAAGAACACTATATAGGTTTCTAAGTTATGCGGGCAATTCGTTTAAAAATAACCAGACACCCACAAATATGACAAAAACACGTGGGTTAGATGTGAGTAAGCAAAAAGTAAGTGAATAGAAAATGTGAAAAAATAAAAAAAAAACATTTCGTAATGATGTAAGTTTGAAAAACGTTGCTGCTTAAAAATTTTTCAGTTTGTGTTTAAAAATAAAAAGGTTTTACTGTAGACCTAAAATACGTACATCAACATTTTCTAAAAATATCCCAATTTATTTTAAGAACATTTATTTTCAACAGATTTATTTCGGGAAAAATTGTTTGCTGATATTATGTCGATGGGAGACTCATATAAAAATAAACAGGAGTGCCGTTTCAATTTGGATTCTTTAAACAGTTTAAAACATGTTCAGAGTACATTCTAGAAATTTTTCTTTAGAACAAATAAACGTATATTTATTTTTATTATACCTACAATTTATATGTTTTAATACAATCTTATCGATTTTTATATCAGAAAGTTGTTAGTAATTTGGTCTTTGAAATATGTCACAATGTCAACTAATGTGTTTTTATAATAATAATAATTGTGTTTTTTATTCTGTACATTTATTCGTCTTTTATTTATTTCAGGTCTGAAGGAATGGACACAGGCTCAGAGTCCTCAACAACTAACAACGATTTTCCTTTACGGAAAACAGGTTTGTAATTGTTTTATCACCAAGTATTTTTCTTGTAAATCACTAAGTTAATCGTGAATGTCTAACACTTTGCATTTGCTGTTCTAAACCAATAATTGGTGGTACTATTGGCTCAGATTATATTCCTATCCCAAAAACAATTATTTCGTGTTTAATACCGCCACATTAATCCTAATTAATGTTGCGTTCAACCAAGTAAAATAAAACATATTATACAACAATAGCTACAGAAGATGCCAAAAAAGAGGAATGTCGCCTTGAAGTAAAAAAACAATTTGCTTACTTAATAGTAGTAAACCCAAATGCGGAAGACACTACTACATTTTTGGCTCTAAAATCCTTAGAACATCTAAAATCAGATATAAACGTGACATACAGAGTGTCTCGAAACTGCTGGGACATAGAAATACTACCACGCATTCTAAATAAGTCGATATCAAATTGTACCATTTGTCCGTGAGAAGAATTCAAAGTTTACTTAAAAATTACATTTTTGTACGCTGTTCAGAAAATTGGAGAGGTTATTTAATCACTGTCCCCATACGTATTCGTTACGTCTGAATTAAAGAAGAATTTGAAAAAATTAATGTTGACAATCCCCTTAGGTTACTAAATGCTTAATTAACTAAATTTTGAAATAAATTCTTGTACCTGGTAAATACTCAGATCACTAAGAGCCTATTTAACTAAATTAAAGTTATAAAAAATTATAAATAAAAGTTAAATATACCTTAGAAACGTTAGATTGAAAAAAAAAATAGAATATTAAACTCAACAAATTAGTAAGCTTAATGCCCGTACTCACATGAAATCTTCAATATAGCAAAAAAAAAACAAGATAGGGTGTCACCAATAACAGCATCACCATCTTCCTATCCAGAGTAACATCTGTGAAAAACTAGTGAATTAGTGGGCCAGGAATAAACCAGGGGACCAAGAATAGATCGACCAGTGTTCTGGCAAAGTTATTCCCAAGACTAGTGGACTGATTACCAGAAAGGTACTGAGTTTCTTGTTACATAAAATAAAAAGCCGGCTACAATTAACACCATTTAATGAAATTCTTCTGTTACATCATAAACGAATATCCACTATTTTTTATAAATTAAACATGGAGGCATGACGCCCTGATCATCCACATTTTTTACAACGGCGAAGCATATCTTGCGCCATCGAGAGATAACTCGTCTGTTGCGACAGCGAAGAAGATTTGGCGTTCTGTAACTTGGGTTGCTTAATGACCTCTAGAAATTTAAACGGGCTTCAGGAATGGTTTTGAGATTTTTCTGTCCAGATACAAATTGTTAAATTTAAATATTGTTGTACTCCGATCTAACTTATGTTGAAGAACTTCAACAACAGATAATATTAATTTACAATTATTTTTTTACACTACAATTACCTATTAATTAATTGGTTTACCACAAAGCCTGGACTGTCCGTGATATGAGTTATAAGGTAGTAATTAATAGTACTGTTTATTTCCTTAATATTATTTAGAATATATAATGTTTCTAAATGATAACTGGAGCCCCACTAAATGGACATCTTACTATCGTCTACAATTTTTGTTTATATTATTGCTTGACATTATTCAAAAAGTCTAGAGCCTAAAGCGGGATATATTCGTTCGTAACATGTGTAATACAAAACTAAAAACAAGCTCGTTATATGCAAAAAAAATAGTTATCGCAATTTTGAGGAAATTGGTAGAACGTTTGTAATTTCCACTCTTCATACATTTTCTTCTACAAAATCTTTTGAGATATTAGTGTTGAACTGTACAGATCATGCCCTCCTTGCTAAGCTTCTTTCCGCTCGACATCTTGACAAAACGTTAATATAAATATCTCCGCGGACCTTTCTAATTGACAATGACAATTTTGCTTGAAAAATCATCTTCATGTTCTTCTCGGCGGCTTTGCTAGCAAGCAAAACTGCCGCATCTGGAGATCGGAAAACCCGCACGTGAACGTCGAAAAGCCAATGAATGCCTCCTCAGAGAGTGACAGTTTGGCGCGGATTTTGGAGCGGTGGCAATATTTGCCCTTTTTCTTGAAACTGCTGCTGAAGACGCCATTTCGGTCAACGGTGAGCGCTATAGAGGCATGATAAACAATTTACTGTGGCCGAAAATTAAAGACATGGACTTGTATGATCTTTGGTTTCAGCAGGATGGCGCGCTATGCCACACAGCCCATGCCACAATCGATCTTTTGCACGCCAAGATCGATAATCGTGTTATCAGTCGTCTCGGCGATGTCAATTGGTCACCTCGCAGCTGCTATTTGATGCCTTTGGACTTTTTTTATATTGTGCCGTAAAGGACCGATGTTATGCCAACAATCCATTAACAATTCAGGCCATTAAGGCGGATATCGAACAAGCCATTCGTGAGACAGCCAGAAACCGTCACCAATGTCTTGGAAAATTGGGTTAATAGGATGGGCTACTGCGAAGCCAGCCTAGGCAGCCACATTACTGAAATCGTGTTCCATAAATAATGGAAATGTTTTCTCTTTTGAATAAACCAATAATATACCGAACAAAATTGATTTTTGTTAATTTTTTGAATTTTTAAAAAGAAACCCCTATATGGACCACCCTTTACCTGTTACGCGTTCTCTCTTTTCTTGTCTAAGAATTTTTCCAATGTCTACTTTTGAAACATTTTTTGTGAATCACTTATTCTAGAACTCGTCATAACATGACAGCATATCACTATCGTCTATAATCAACGTCTGCCATTAAAAAAATATTATTTTCCTATCAAAAAAATTGCGTGATACATTGTTGGATAGAAAAAAGTAATTTTAAAAAACGACTTCAAAATCGTGCAGATGCCCTTAAAAATGGAGATTTTTTATTTTCTCAAAGATCATCCCATCCTGACCAATTGTAAATGGAACTACCCCTAAGTACCTTTAAAAAAAAAGAATCAGAAATCGGACAACGTGGTACATAATTATGACTGAAAATACTAAAAAAATTAAGAATGATGATTTTCTTATGGACCCATTATTAGATCTTGAGCAAATTAATATGGCACCACCCCTTAGGTGCCGTCTTTCTAACAAGAATCATAGAAATCAGACAACGTAGTAAAGAATTTTCGCTGAACATACATAAAAAAAATCTTCCGACGAATTGAGAACCTCCTCCTTTTTTGAAGTCTGTTAAAAAATGGAGATTTCAAAATGAGCTATACTCTGTTTTTAAACTAGGAGGAGCGAATTGAAAAGACGCATTTACACAGGGAAAAGTAACTAGATTTGTTACTAAGAGCGAGTTTCGAAATATAGTCGTGTTCAAAATTTATGAAATAATTATCTTTATCGGCCTTAGTCGGTGAACGGCCAATGAGCGGTTAAGAAACGAATAAATGTCATAGAAGTAATTTTTTAATTGGCCCCAGACAACGGTCGCAAATTTCACATTATTGTGATCTGAAATGTGTGTCTAAAACGAAATGTCACTGTCAAATTAAAGTCAATATGGTTGTTGATTGATGTCAGAAATACTTTTTTCTTGCTTTTGAAATCGACTCTTTGAGAATAACTATGATCTTTTTAAAATGGATAATAAATATTTAAGAAAATTGTTAATGGAATATCCAGATGTAGCCAGGTTAGTATAAAATATAAAGATCTGTTTACATTTTTAAGGATATATTTGTTATAGGTATAAAAAGTAAAAGGTAATCAGTGAATGACAAGTGGATCACACAGTAACTGGTATCTCTTCTATGAGTAATGTGGATATTATGGCTTATTCAGTGTTAACCCATGGTTAATGCGCTAGAGGGCAAATAAAGGCATTCAAAAGTTTACAGGCCTATGAGTCAGAATTTGTTTTGAAAACTGGAACTAACATTTTCATAACACTACATGTCAACATATATTTTTTAAAGTGAACTATTCATACATACCTATGTATTAATTTTAAGTATTTTTAAAATATTTTTTGTGAAAGTAATGTTAACTCATTGTGCCAAATTAAGATTATCCCTAAAGTAGTAGATGGTGTTTTAAATGTTATAACAATTTTGTAAATAGTTTTATTCTATTCTAATAAATAAAATTTGCTTGAATAGTTACATTTTAATCATTTTGGTTAGAAATTCATCAATTTTTAGTTTTAAAAAATCAGTAATAAAATTATTTTTTTCTAAAATACTTCGGAATTCATCTCTTCATGGTAATCTCCCATCTTTTTACCTTCAAAAACCAATAATGCATTTTCTACAAAACCTTCAGAATCAGCATGTAAAATAATGTGTCTTCCCTTTCTTGTAAGGCTTTTCAGGAATTACCTTTAATAGTACTCAGTGTAGAAGGATCCATAATTGTAGATTTTCAATACAATTGCTTACTGAAGAACTATTATTTACGAAATAAAGTAAAAAACTAAGTAATGGATGAGATATCAAATTATAAAATGTCAGAACTGTCAACAATATCAATTAGGCATTCCAAACAAATGAATTACCAGTGGGCAGGTTTGGTATATCTAAGGATAGCGACATATGGTGTATTTTATGTCAAACACAATAAAAATAATATTTAAAAAACCCACCTATACATTTCTTCATAAATTGGCAGGCTTGGCGAGTACTACTTCGAATAAAAATAGCGTCCAAGTTGCAAGACTATGTCGCTACCCCCTTAAATATACAAGAATTTCCCACTGGCACCTATTGTTTGACAGGTCGTTGAAATGCCTAATTATTAGCTGATGTTCATGCTAAAAAGTAATGTGTGAAACTGACTGTAATCTGACCAATCAGAAGGCTACAGAATTGCCAACTTAAATTCAAATCGCTCCTCTTAGTTTAAAAACAGAGTATAGAAAGTACAGATCCGAATAAAAAAATCTAGGGTGGCCGTTTAAATACAAAATGTTTAAAAAAATTTGGCTTTGGTATGTTAAGAGATTGAACCTTAAAGAAAAAAATCTTATTTAATGTTTTTTATAACTAAAACAATGTTTTATTCAAATATCTTGGACCTGATATTTTAATTTTGAAAGAGACATTTTTTCATAGTTAACCAACTTTGTATCTATAACGGTTAACCAAATTTTCGCCACCCTGTATATGTGGTTGTAAACAAACTAATTTTAAGTATTTTTTTTTTCCTATTTTTAATTTCTTCTTGTAATCGTATTTCTATTTATATCTTTCTTCGAATAACGTATACAACCGTTATTTTCAGCATCCGAACCGAACTTGCTCAAAGTCAAGCTGAAACAGCGCGTGATGGAACGCCGTTGCAGCCCGATGAGCAAACGGTTGCCGCCCTCGCTCAAGAAAAAACTGCTCAGTTCGTACCTGCCACCCAGCGAATCGCCGCCCCAAGAACCGCCCAAGGAGCTCAGTCCGCCTTGCGAGTCCGAGGAGTACCAGCGACATGCGCTATTCAGTAGCCCATCGATGCCGAACATCTCCTTGGCCGCCCACCACGTGCTGTCGCCCGATTTATCGGAGGCTGCCGTGAGGGCGGCCTGCACTGCCCGGTTAGGTAAGTTTATTTCTTTATCCATTATTTGAACAAGTCCATGAAACTCAATGTGCTACCTTTGAAAGATACCTATTATTACTCGATGCCTTTCTTTTAATATACCTTCGTCTCTATCGGGTAAGTCAGGTAACATATATTTGCTATGTATTACATTTAAGAGCTTTCAGAATAAATGCCATTTTGTGACAGATTATAAAAAAAAGACAAGAAGTCGCAGTTAATTTTAATAAATTTTTATAAAGTATACAATACAGGCCATTTTGATAGAAACCATGGAAACTAAACAAATCCAAACTTAGTTTAACTTAGCCGTTATTTTATTTCATCCATGCTCCGTTTGCTCGAAGGTCCGAAAAATCTATTAACTCTGCTCTGTTCTAGAAGGTACTTTTCAAACGTAGCAATGGTAAACAAAGTGTAACGATAGTTTAATTTAAAAATAGTTTATTTATAATTTATTTATAACGTACTAATTAATTTATTTAAAACTTAGGCACTATTATAACTTACAATTCTAATTTATTTATTACAATTTATCTTTTCTATGCAACCCTTAAATTAAAACGTAACGTCTATCTACAAACTCGCGCTATTTATATAAAGCCATCTCTGCACTAGAACATTCTCGACCGTCTAGAAACTCTGGAAGTTCTTTATATGTGACTCAGCCACTGCGTAATGCTTTCGCTGGTAGCTTCTCGAAACATTGCGTTTGTTTCTGTCCTGCGGTGTCGAAACAAACGAAGCGACAGCTGTAACGGCAAAGGTGATCAGGGTCGGCTTAGGGTAGTTCATGACAAAAGTGACATTTCTTAAGAGATCGTTCCTCCTGGAACTGTTACTGAAACTGCATGGAAATAACAAGGGACGATTTTCGCTGAAATTTGGACACTAAACGAATGGATGCAGACCAATATTTGAACCTCAGTATGTTGGAAGATTACTTCCATCATGTTTCTAATGATTCTACAATTTAGTAGGTTGCTCTCTATCTTGACCTGGCTAGTTTCTGTAAATTGGACTCCCTCAGACTAAGGAATGCTTTCCATACATCATGATAAGTGGATCGATCTCGGATGGTGTTCTTTGTTACCAAATAGAAAAGATAACGCGATCCATCTTGAAGTTTCAGTGCTTTTCCAGGGGCTTGTACCTGATCTTGAAGTTATGGCAATCGACCAAACTTCTTTCGGAACACAGATGCCAGACCTCGAGCGTCGTTGATGGCGGAAGTACTATGGATCAGCGAGTAGTCTTTAGGAATCGTGAGATCTGGTTGTAACACCGTATCTTGCTTTTCCCGTACCTCCATATGCACCCATAAATTCTTCAAAGACAAGATCAGGTGATTCTTGGAGCTGGTTTACTTCTTAGTCGTCATGGTCACCCTCAAATGGCGCTAGCCGGATTTGGTGAACTACCTTATGTTTACCGTTCGGGATCTTACGGTAAATGACATCATTTAGTTTTCTTTTCTTAATGCGGTACGGACCTTTACAAGACCTTTGAAGCTTCGGAGAATAACCCTTTTGTCTATTTGGGTTATGGAGCCAGACTTTGTCGCCTTCCTTGAAACATCCTTCTGTGGCTTGGGTATCGTATCGCTTCTTCATTCTGTTGCTGGCGATTTGAAGATGCGATCGAACTAATTCATGCATGTCGTCCATTTTTCTGCGTAACCTAATCTTCACCGGCTATGCCTTTTCCGGGTCCGCATCCAAACTCGAAGTCACACGGTAGTCTCAACTCACGCCCGAACAGCACCTTTGCAGGTGTTTGGCCTGTAGATTAATTGACAGCGGATCTATATGCCATTGCGAAGAGCGAAATATACTCATCCCAATCTCGTTAATGATTGGAAACTACTTTTGACAGGTATTTGCCAATGTTTTTATTCATTTGAAATGCCGTAGTTCTGGTTTTCTTCATGCCTAGTCTGTCACAAATTCCTCGGAAAACATGGCTTTCAAAATTTCTGCCTTGGTCACTGTGGATCTTCGGGCACTCCAAATATACTGATGAATGTTTTATTAACACGTTTGCAACAGTTGCGGCCTTTTGATTTGGAATGGCGTAGACTTCCACCTACTTCGTGAAATAATCCATAACCACCATCATGTATTTATTACCATCCTCGGTCATGGGAATGGTTCAGCAATATCTAAGGCAATTCTCTCAAATGGGCTATCGACGTTGTACTGCTTCAAGGGGGCCTTCCTTTTTCGTTTGGGTCCGTTATTCATAGTACATTTTACGAAGTCTCTGAAGTGTTTTCTTAACGCGAGATATCCTCCTGATGGACTGTCGTGTACCTGGCGAAGTACTTCGGCTACTCTCGTCTTTGGCATGACCAACTCTTTTCTGTTTTCGGAACCATCATCGTTCTCTTGTTCTCGCTTTAATAAGCCTTCTTCCAGGATAAAGGAAGCCCACCGAGTCCAATATGACTTAATTAATGGAGAGAGTTTTAATACTTCTTACCAAGTAGGTCGACGATTTTCCTATAATTTATTTATAACAATTTATATTTTCTATGCAACACTTAAATTGAAACTTAACGTCTACCGACAAACTCGTGCTATTTATATAAAGCCAGCTCTGCACTAGAACTTTCTCGGCCGTCTAGAAACTTTGGAATTTCGTCATCTATGACTCAGCCGCCGCGTAATGCTTTCTCTGGTAGTTTCTTGAAGCAGTCCGTTTGTCTCTGTCCTGCGGTATCGAAACAGACGAAGCGACAGCTGTAACGGTAAAGGTGATGAGGGTCGGCTTAGGGTGGTTCACGACAAAAGTGACATTTCTAAAATTGGTAAATCACACATCAATCGGAGAAAAACATGAAATAACTCATTGTTAAAGAAAATGATAACTATGTTCAGATCAGAATAGACCGTAATAGTGTAACCATGACAACGACTGTGTCAATACTGTCAAAGCTTTAAATGTGGCTAGGTTTGTGTTTTAAGTTGAATTTATCTTAAATTGCTCTATAATTTGTTGTAATCCCTTTAGATGTTTAGCTCTGTTTATTAATAAAAACATTTCTGCCTAGTTTTGTTCTCTTAAGGTTTATGGCACTGGGATCTAAATTGACCTGTAACAATTTTACGGCACGTAACTTTATCATCCCTATAAACAGTGTTGCCATTGAACAAGTATATACGATTAAATACCTAATACTAAATTATTTTAGATCTCCAATTGACTTTCAACAGTCATGCAGGTTACCTATGTAGGAATATAGGGAAGAAAATAGGTTTTTTTAGAAGAACAGCTTCAAATTTATCTCAGTGGAGTAGAAATCTTATTTTACAACACATATATCCACACTTTAACTTTTTTTTGAATAAAGATAATTTCCTGACCGTAGCAGAGTTATTACTTACTGCAGTAAATTAAATGCTGGGTCTATTTAGAAAAAACCTGTTCATTTGATTTTTGCAGATAAGTGTTTTCTCATTTCTGATTTGTGTCCTGAAAGTGCATATTTTAACATCCTCGGCACAATTTACCAAAAAACAGGTTTTGTATATACTAGGATAATAAAATTGCGAGATCCAAAATCCATGTAAAACGTGCAATAATGTTATCGATAGTATAACCATCTATACAGGGTGTTTCAAAAAGATTGGTCATAAATTATACCACATATTCTTGGGCCAAAAATCGGTCGAATAAACCGTACTTACTAATAACAAAAGTGCACCCAAAAATAGTTACAGGGTGTATAAGATAAAAATTTAAATGAATTTTTTTAACGTTGCTCTTAAACCGTTTGGCATTTTTTAATGACATTTTATATGACGTGTTAGAATACCATGACTAATAATACCGAGGAAAGGGCAATATTTTTTTCTTGATTTTTATATGTTTTTTGGAGGGTGTCACCGCTCTTTTCTCCACTCAACTTTTTTGTAGTATAAAATTTAATTAAAAATGAAACGCCACTGGAATGCAACATCCATTTGGAAACTTTTTTGTTTCTTAGTATTTGTTTGTAAAAAGTTTAGTTTAGACGATACAGCCATTTGAAATGACAACTTAAAAATATTCAATGGAAATTCTACGTATGAAAAATATCGAAATCAAGTTTATTTTTAAATTAAAAACTAATGTCATCAAAATAAAAAAAAAATTAATTTAACAGGTTGTAGGCGATCTTTAAATTTAAGGAATACTCGCCCTGTACATGACGTTGATTGCCGATAGCAATAGGCGTTGTGTAATGTTCCAAGTACTGATAAAACGGCTGAATCACCGAATGATTCTTTTTGGGGTTTTTGTTAGAAAAGGATTTGTGTTTAGTTAGTTGATTATAAATCATTGTTTCGATCAGACCTGCGTTTTATTTTAGTATATTTATTTCAGAGAAATATTTCTTTCAAATCATTACAGTCGATTACAAGGTGTTCAAAATTACATTCTCCTACTGTATACACTTACTACATAGTTTTAACAATGAAAATCGAATTTTGATATTTTTGCATACGTATAATTTACATTGAATATTTTTAAGATGACATTTTAAGTGGCTTTATCGTCTAAACCAAACATTTTACAAACAAATACTAAGAGACAAAAAAGTTGCATTTCAGTAGCGTTTAATTTTTAATAAAATTTTATATTGCAAAAAAGTTGAGTAGAGAAAGGGGCGGTGACACCCTCCAAAATCATACAAAAATAAAAAAATATATCGCCTTTACCTCGATTTTATTAGTCATCGTATTTCAACACGTCATATAAAATTTCATGAAAAAACGTGAAACGGTTTAAGAGCAACGTTAAAAATATTCATTTAAATATTCATCTTATACACCCTGTAACTATTTTTGGGTGCACTTTTGTATATAGGTAAGTACGGTTTAATCGACCTATTTTTGACCCAAGAATACGTGGTATAATTTATGACCAATCTTTTTGAAACACCCTGTATAGTTTGGCGTCTTTTTTAGTGTCAACGAATTTGTATAAGCTCGGGGCTCATTAAAAGAAATTTTAGA